CTACTTTTTTTCAAAAGTAAAGAATTGTATAAAAACATGCACATTACAGATAAGCACATATCTCAGCTATAGTTTATAGTCAGGATAGAAACACTGACCATTAACACAGTTTAACAAACCTAACTAGGTGGAAAATGTTATTGACCTTCACCCAGCGAACATTAGTTCACTTCTCTCCTCTCAGGCACAGGATAATGAAGTTTATTTACAGCCAGATTCTGTCACCGATACTAATGCTGAATAGCACCTGACCCCTCCAGTAGACTCACTGAAATCAACAGGACTAAGGTGTAAAGACTAAATCAAAGAATGAAGTGCAAAGTGGCATAATCTGGCCCTTAACTATTCCAGCATTTATTACATCTTATTTAGTTAGCTACTCCCCACAGTAGTTATAATAGTTGGAGCAGCAGACATTATTTCCCCATCAGGTTATTGCATGTGAGGGAATAATGCTCCAAAAGATTAAACAATTAATTTTTTATGTACCAATTTTCTTTTTGCACAATGGGTCAATAGTATACAGAGTGATCAGCAATAAGCTTTCTGTATCACCAGGTGCTTTTATCCAACTGTAAAGTGTATGTCAGACATCTGTCAGCACCTAGGCAAGGTAACCTCAACACCACATACAAGAATATCACTTAGTTATTTTCTTTTCATTGCAATGTAAGAATTAGAGGTGAGTTTTGATAATACTGCTAGTGAACTGTTCTTGCATATGCCCTAAGTATCAGAAAACAAAATTCTTATTAGAAATATTTATGTTACCTGTAATAGATCATTATAAGGATAGATTTTAGGAACAGCAGAAACCAGAAAATAATAATTTATTGCTCATATTTTTAAACAATTACAGTAACTTTAGTGTATGTTGGATGTCAAATTTTCAGAATTTCTATTTTTTTAAAAATAGTTGCAATCTCCAGCAGTTCAGACCATGTATTTATCCACTAATCAAAAAAAAAAAATCTAGTGTATGAATCTCTGTTCATCCAACAAAAACCATATTTGGCTAAACAAATCAGATAAAGGCTTTCACAGGTGATCACTCAGACTAAGACTACAGTACAATGCATCAAACCCAGGTCTAACGTTACCTGGACAGGAATTCAACCCAGTACAGAAAGCCCATGAAAGACCTTCTATATCACATCATCCCCCAACTTATTCCTTTAGGCTGAGATATATGCCAGAGTGCAAGGCTAGCAAAAGGCTTATGCACCACTTATCTTAATCAGAAGGTTCCAGTAATTCTTGTACCGACCTTGTGCTCAGCCATAGTGAGTATGTTGGTATAACAAGCAACTGGTAGACTATGGAATCACAATACTTGGCTTAAAACAACTTTGCTAATCTTGCAGTTCAAATGATTTAGTTAAAAAATGTAAACGGATGGCTCTCCTAAAGAAAGATAAAGAGTACTTGTGGCACCTTAGAGACTAACCAATTTATTTGAGCATGAGCTTTCGTGAGCTACAGCTCACTTCATCGGATGCATGCCGTGGAAACTGCAGCAGACTTTATTTATACACAGAGAATATGAAAAAATACCTCCTCCCACCCCACTGTCCTGCTGGTAATAGCTTATCTAAAGTGATCATCAGGTGGGCCATTTCCAGCACAAATCCAGGTTTTCTCACCCTCCACCTCCCCACACAAATTCACTCTCCTGCTGGTGATAGCCAGATGATAGCAAAGATGTTTGGTACAGGGTGAAGAGCTTTAGATAGCTGAAACGGGAAGGAGGAGAACGAAAAACAAAACCAAACAACTCTCAGATAACACCATATTTACAGTTTTCCAGTCTTTCCCTACAAAAGTCTCCCCTAGACCAATATGTTAAACCAAGAGTGTTAAAATGGGAACGTATGTTCCTCTCTAAATGTTTCCCATTGCTAGTATTCTAATATTGGCAGGTCTGCTTCAAGAACATAAAAGAGGTCTCCAGAGGGGCAAACTTGATTTTATGGGGTAATTTATCATCATCCACATGGGGAAAATTTGCATAGGGGACAAGAAACTCCATTAGAGCCCAGTCACAAAGTTTCCAGACAATCATCCCATCTTGGACATCCATCAAAGATCAGGATCATCCCTATAGAAGCCCAAGGCCCCATACATTTTCCTGATCCCCAGACATATTTCAGTACCTGTAACACTCCCAGCTGGCTGCAACCCTCATCCCCATTCCCTTCTGGGATAGAAGAATGAGTGGGGAAAGTTTACATAGTGGAGGAACAAAACAAGATCATGCTGATTGAGTCAGCATGACTTTCCTTGGTAATACCTGGGTGGTTCTGGGAAAGGACAGCATGGTCCATGGAACTACCATCTCCCTAGTCCTGTTCCTCCTGACTCGCAGAGTCCAACCGCTGTAGCACATCCATAGAGGTAGAGGAACTTCATAGGGATTAGGAAGGGACAAGGCCACAGAGCCAGCACTCTCCTGTCTCCCCTGCTTGCAGAAGTGAAAGTATCCAGTCAGATGGGTGGGGGATAAGCCCACTCAAACACCATCTCTGAGGATGTAAACAGGAGAATATTCACCTTTCCTTGAACATCGAGCATATAAACATTAAGTAAACCAAAAACCCAAACAGCAATGTCTGCAAAGACACCCCCCCCCACACACACACACACTATGTGCACCCACTTACAATGTTGGTTGCCACACAGAGAGTTTATATAGGATAGAATACATGTCAATAATGTGACTCGCTGTGAAACAGAGAAGACAACCCCACTCCAAACTGATTTATTTAAAAAAAAACAGGATGTGTTAAATTTCTCTCTTTTAATAGACTACCCACCATATATTATGGGATTAAAACAGCAGCATTTTGTGGATTTTAATAATTTTACTTTACGTTGCTTTGCCTAGTTTTACCATTTCTGGAATGTACAAGTTTGTTTTATTTTGTTTTGCTTAGAGGTTGTTAATGAAACCTGCTGAATATACAAGCCATAATTTTTATGTTACTACTTATGCTGATATACATCAAAGCTAAAAAGCATTTTGCTCGTGTCTGGTCTCATGAGAAACATCTTATTTCTGAGACTATCCCAAGGAGGACATACAACATTAATTCACTCCAGCAGACAGCACAGACAATATAAGGCAAGAGACTCAATCTAAACTAGACATCATCACTAAGCTGTCCCCACTTCAGTTCATCTTATATTGACAAGGCTTCTTTTTTAAAAAAGAAGTTTGATTTTTTAAGAAACCCTATGTAGGTGCCTGATGCAATAAAAACAAAGTAGGAATCATGAGCCTCTGTCCCCTCCCAATCTGTGCTACAGGAAAGGAGGGTATCAGTTTAAAAGAAAAAAATAAAATAATAATAATAATAGGAGGATTGTCAAAAGTTGCTGAGTTGGTTCCCCCCCCAAAAAAAATGCTGACTAAATCTCTTTCTGGTGATTACAGGTTTCAGAGGGGTAGCCGTGTTAGTCTGTATCAGAAAAAAAAAAAACAACAAGGAGTCCTGGTGGCACCTTAGAGACTGAAATTTATTTGGGCATAAGCTTTCCTGGGCTAAAACCCACCCACGAAAGCTTATGCCCAAATAAATTTGCTAGTCTGTCATGCGCCACAAGTACTCCTTGTTTTTTCTGGTGGTTGTTTCAGTGAGACTCTGTCCTTCCCCAGTGCAAACAGCAGCTAGCCTGCTGCAAGTTTCCCAGGTAGACTCAATGAGTCGCACACACCCCACCTGAATGGTAAGGAACAAGCACCCTCAGTGCCAGGCAAGGGACCATCCACATTTCCTACATGATCCAACAACCTGAGGAGAGGGCCACGGCCCAGCCTGCTTCACCAAGCCAGCACAGAAGACGGTACAGGGGCATTTTGCTTTAGAGCCAGCAAAGCAAATAGCCAGAATATTAAACCTAAAGGCTGTCACCCACACATACCGCTTGCCACTGTTTGGGAAGTGTCACCTGTCCCTAACCTTTCATGTGACAACTGCAGCAATAACTCCGACATTCCCCTTCCTCCTGACACCTGTTCCGGGCTGTTCCCCCGCCTACGGCGCAGCCCAGCCTTTGCATAGTTACCTGATCCTGCCAAGTTCAGCGGCAACAGACCAGGCTTTTCCTTCTAAGCTTATCCAGCCCGCTTCCCACCTCCCCGCATTCATTAAATCAGGTCTCTGGCGCCATAAATGTACACAACCACTTTCCAGGGAAACGTGACCGATTCATGATCCCTTGGCTTTTATACCGATGAATTCTCCCCGAGCCCGCACACCCAGTGACTTTCAGCAGCGCCTTTCAGAGGTAATAAACGGCCACCCATACACACAGGGTCGCCACGAAACGGCTTGGAGGGGCCGCCAGAGCAGGGGAAGGGGCTGCGGGGTGAGCCGTGCAGTGCCCTGGGAGATGGCCCTGGAAAGATGCAGGGGCGAGGGGGGCAATACACCGGGCGAGTAGGGGAGGGAACGGCACGGCGGGTATTGTAGGGGCGACGGGGACGGCACCGCTAACGGCGGAGAGGGACTGCCCTGCAGCTGGCGTGGATGAAGGAGCTGGCCCCGCAGGGGCACCGGGCCTCAGGGAGCAGGCAGCCGGGCCAGGCGAGCCGCACCCCGGCGGCGGCGGGAGGCCGAGAGGGCCGGTGCGGGCGCCCAGCTCCCAGCGGCGGAGAGAGGCAGCCAGGTGCAGGGCTCCAGGTGAAACCCTGCGGCCGCCGCCGCCCTCTCGTCTCACGGCAACAGAACTTCCGAGCGGCTTTAAAACACGCCCCGGCCAGGCTGGAGCGGGGCGCCCCCGGAACCCAGCAGGAGCCCGGCTCGGGTGCCCGGGAAGGGCAGAAAGCTAAGGCAGCCGGTAACAAGGCGCCGGGTCCCGAACCCCCCGCTCCAAGGGGCTGCGGCCAGCAGCCAGCCCGGGAGCCTCCCCAAAGCGCGCACGGCTGGCGAGCAGGGGGTTCCCCCGGGGTAGGGGTGGGGTGTTCTTGTCTCTGATGCAAAGGCCCCGGCCCCGCTCACCTTGGTGTAGAGCTGGGAGACCGACATGTCCTGGCCGGGAGCCCAGCGGGGCGCAGCCCGGGATGGAGAGCGCGGTAAGCCGGGGGGGTTCAGCCCCGGAGCATCCAGCCCCGCCGCGAGGCTGCTAGCGCCGAGGGTCCCGGCTCACACGGGGCCGGGCGACATGGCTGCAGGGAGCGTCCGCAAATCTCCGCTCCGGGGCTTCTCCCGCTGCGCAGCCCGGACGCGACCTTCGCACCCTCCGCCGCCGCGGCTGAAGTTATTTATCAATCGGAGGAGGAGGCGGGTGGACGCGGCAGGTCCAGCTCCGCCTAGCGCGCCGCTCCCAGCGCAGGTATGGGGAGGTGCGGGGCCGCCCGCTGGCCTGGCTCGGCAAGCTGCGAAGCGGGGCGAGCAGCGCGCCCAGCCCGGCTGCGCTTCTGCTCCCAGGTGCCGCGGGTGGGACCATCGGCGTCCACGGCTCCCGGGCGCGCTCTCCCTGCACAGGGCAGGCACCTAGGTAAGGGCCGCCCCCTGCTGGCCAGAGCGCAGCCCCCTCCTTCCTCCCGAGAGGGCAGGGCGCCGCAGCCGCGCAGGCCCTGCGGCGTGTGGCCGTCCCGTCCCGCCCCCAAAGAGGGAGCCACGAGTGGGGGAAGCGGCTTGAAATAATGGGGGGCGGTTCAGTTCTTCGCCCCGTGAAAAGTTTTCCTGCAATAACCCCGTTTCACGTGTTGAGGTCACGTTTGGATCGCTGAGGATTGTCCCTGCCCATAGGTGCTGGAGCAAGGGGTGCTGCTGCACTTCCTTGGCTTGAAGGGGTTTCCAGCACATACAGGGTTTACAGCTGGGTTCAATGGCTCTCTGCACCCCCTGCCCCTAGCAGAGACTGTTCCACCCAAAGGGCACGCTGCTCAGCCTGTCCTGTGAAGTTCTCCCCCTCACCCGGGACCTGTTTGGGGAAATTGTTTTTATTTGTTTGTTGGGGGTCCAGTAAACGTTATTGGGGAGGGTTGTTTGGTTGTGGGTTTTTTGTTTTGCTTTGTTGTTGTTTTTTCTTTGGCTTTGTTGTGTTTGCTTCTTTGCTCACCCTCCCCCCCTCATGGAACACCATGGTAAATAGCTGGAAATGAACCAATGATGTGCCTGGTCTAGCAAATCTTGCTAAAGCTGAGCTAAACAGTCCCTGCCTAGAGTGGCTTTTACCACTGCTTCCTAAGCATAGTTCAGTACACAAAAAGCCTGATCCTGCTCTCTCTTAAATTGGTGTAAACAAACCAGGGTTAACGCCACTAAAATGAGTGATGTTACAATAGCATAAAACTATTGTGAGAGATGAATCAGGGCCTGCCCTTTAGAAAGTACCAGATTACATCAAATGGCATGTTATTAAAAAAAAAATCCTGTGTGGGAAGGATGATACCTGTGAGATGCCCCCTAAATGATCTTTATACCCCACAGCCCACACAAATTACTCAGCTGAATGTTGCTGATGTGTCAGTTTTTTATACTAATGAACAAGGTAGTAATGTAGTAACCAGCCATCTATATATATCACAGCCTTTATCATGGTAAATTTATATCTAAAATGAGCAGGGTTCCTCTGCTGGGTCTAATAAGGTGCATTTGGGGGGATCTAGTATCTTTAACCAGAATGCTCTCTCTTTCATTTTCTCCTTCCATCTCATTTGGAATTTTGCGTATTTTCCCCTGATCACCAACCATTCTACAAGCAGTATAGGCCCACTGAAAACTGCCTCTTGGCTGCTGGATTCTATATTGAGCCAGGACTTTTAAGGAAGATTACTTTCTTATCACTCTTTCTTAAAATTACTAGTAAGTGATAAGTCTTTGCCTTTAAATCTCCGTATCTGAAGATATCCTCTCACAGGTCTCAGTCTTGGGTCTCATGCTCCCAGCACCAGCCATGGTTGAATTCCCCTAACTCTGCTTCCCTGGGTTAAAAGTCCTGTGTGTCAGTGGAGTTCTGCCCTTTCTCAGACTGGGAGCATGAGATCAGAGACTGAGAACCCTGTGATGGCAGTCTCTTTAAAGAAACTGTCAAGGTTCCTCCCCCACTCTGAACGCTAGGGTACAGATGTGGGGACCTGCATGAAAACCTCCTAAGCTTATCTTTACCAGCTTAGGTCAAAACTTCCCCAAGGTACAAAATATCCCACCCTTTGTCCTTGGATTGGCTGCTACCACCAAACAAATACTGGTTATTGGGGAAGAGCTGTTTGGAAAAGTCTTTCCCCCCAAAATACTTCCCAAAACCTTGCACCCCACTTCCTGGACAAGGTTTGGTAAAAAGCCTCACCAATTTGCCTAGGTGACTACAGACCCAGACCCTTGGATCTTAAGAACAATGAACAATCCTCCCAACACTTGCACCCCCCCGTTTCCTGGGAAATGTTGGATAAAAAGCCTCACCAATTTGCATAGGTGACCACAGACCCAAACCCTTGGGCCTGAGAACAATGAAAAAGCATTCAGTTTTCTTACAAGAAGACTTTTAATAGAAATAGGAGTAAATAGAAGTAAAGAAATCCCCTCTGTAAAATCAGGATGGTAGATACCTTACAGGGTAATTAGATTCAAAACATAGAGAATCCCTCTAGGCAAAACCTTAAGTTACAAAAAAGATACACAGACAGAAATAGTTATTCTATTCAGCACAATTCTTTTCTCAGCCATTTAAAGAAATCATAATCTAACACGTACCTAGCTAGATTACTTACTAAAAGTTCTAAGACTCCATTCTTGGTCTGTCCCCCACAAAAGCAGCATATAGACAGACAGAAACCCTTTGTTTCTCTCCCTCCTCCCAGCTTTTGAAAGTATCTTGTCTCCTCATTGGTCATTTTGGTCAGGTGCCAGCGAGGTTACCTTTAGCTTCTTAACCCTTTACAGGTGAGAGGAGTTTTCCTCTGGCCAGGAGGGATTTTAAAGGGGTTTACCCTTCCCTTTATATTTATGACAGAAACATTGTAATTCCTCCAGTATGGCACTGGAATAGTTCAGCAGGAACAGCGTGGGGCTTCTGCCCACTCTGGTGTTGCTGTGCAGTGGTGGCACGGCTCCAGGGTTGATCTCTCAAGTGGTTCAAGGATGGGCCTGTTCCTGACTCACGATGGGAGGTGAGACTAAAACCGGGCCTTCCTTGTTTTGGAAGGCGAATGTCAACAGCAGTCCTGGGTGTCAGCCTTCAGCTGGGAAGTACAATATGTTTTATGGCCCCATATGGGAGTGGCCTGAACTGATTCCACATGCTTTCATCAGAAGAGCTAAAGTTTTGGTAGCCGCACACAAATCTGGGCTCGTCGGACAACTGATTCCAACTCATCCTCTTTGGAAACAAAACTAAACTCCCTAGCTTGAGGATTGTAATATGCAAGGTGCCACATTCATCCCTGGTCTAAGCAAGTGCTACCAGTGGCTCCAATGGAGTTATGCCCACTTACTTTAAGATCATGTGTAGCCCAAAGAGCTGCTAGGTATGTCACCATTTTGTCCTGCTGATAATCAGAGTGCAGCAGTAGCATCCAGAGTTAAAGTTTACTTCCTCTATTAATCCGAAAGGGAATGGCAGGTACTGTAAAATAGGGGAGAGGTGCTCGATGACAATGGAAAGATCTTCCAACTGCCTCCCTGATAAGAGGCCTGTGTGGCATTTCCTTATGGAGGGAGCATGGTTTAGTGGTTAAAGCAGCAGATTAGGAGGGAGAAGATTGGGGTTTCCATCCCAGCTCTGCTATTGACTCGCTATGGGACCTTAATAATGATGTACCTAGCTCTCTTCTAGCACTTCTCATCAGCAGATCTCAAAGTAGTTTACAAAAGAAGTCAGTATCATTGCTATCATTTTACAAGATAGGGGAAACTGAGGCACAGATAGGGGAAGTGATTGCCCAAGGTCATCCAGCAGGTCAGTGTCGGGGCCAAGCAGAGAACCCACCTCTCCTAAGTCCCAGTCCAGAGCTCTATGGACGAGGCCACAGACAAGTGACTTAGTCTTTCTGTGCCTCAGTTTCCCCACCTGTAAAATACAGACACCTTTGTAAAGTGCTTGGAGCCCCTCAGATGAGAGGCACTAGTTAAATGAAACTATTAGAATGTACTATTATTTGCTCAGGAAAGGAGCATAGACTACTGGCTGAACAACAATACCGGGAGTCAAGAGTTTGTGGTGCTGCTCCCAGCTCTTCCACTGACTCAATGGGTGACCTGGGGCAAGCCACTGAGCTTTTCCATACTTCAGTTCCCTCCACTGTAGAATGAGGATAATAAGAGGCATCCTGCAGAAGTGTTGTAAGGCTTAATTAATGGGTGGAAAATGCTTTGAGATCCTGGGAAGGAAGATGCTATGGAAGTGTAAAGTATTATTAATTTTCATTGCAAAGACTTTGCATACGGGGGCAAAGAATGTGCTTCTTAGGGCTTGTGCTCTGCCACAGTTGTTCACTCCTTCACTAACTTACAGGGAATTTTCTTTAAATCACTGTAGATGATGTTTGCTGCATTGCCTCAGTATATTGTGCCTTTATTTAATATAATATTGACATTATCTCACCACAGCAAACATTCACGTTTACTGTCTTCTCCCTTAACTCCTCATCCCTTGAGGCAATGTAAATTCCTTTCTTTTCCTTAGCAGCAACACATCATCCTGTTCTTTAATCCTGCCCTTCGTACAATTGCTGCATCTGAGTAGTACACAGAGAGCCTTCACAGCATATCCTAATGTTTCTGCAAGGCTGGCAGCTGGGAAAAGTTGTGAGCACAATCACGCTGCTGTGAATAAAGTCATGCAGGGGCTTCCCATCTCAAATAGGTTCTATCTGGAGCTTTTGTATGCCCTCTTCTGGGCTGTCTCAGTGTCTGCAGCTCTCTCTATTTGGTCATTTTGAAAGGGATGTGTCTGTGGATGGCACTCTCTGTCCTTCAGCCTTTTGTATTATCCTGCAGGCCCCAGCTGCAAGGAGAAATGGCCACATACAGAGGCAAAACATGTTTTGAGAACTATGAATTTACATTCCAAAGAAGGGATCACAACACCACACCTCTGGCTCACAAGGTAGGAGTTTAAGACTGAAGGGACCAAATCCAACCACCCAGTGTTCCTGGGGGCGACGACAGCAGTAGCGATGGTCCTTTATGATAACCTGAGCAGAGAGCTGCGTGTCAGCGTGGCTGAGTTCTAGACTTATCTGTGCCACTCAAGGCACATCTACGTTACTGTTTTTTTAACCACTCTGCTAATGTGGCTGCAGCAGTGCAAACCCCTACTGTAAATAAGCAGCAGGAG